ACGTGTAGTTACAACGGCGTGAACAGCAGACTCCAGCTGAGGTCGTTTGACTATTGACTTTAAGCGGGAGATGCGACGTAGTTGGAAACAGCAGGACCGGACTGTAGAGTTAATTTGTGAACTCATTAACAGATCAGAGTGAAGTTTCACTCCCAGACTGGATACACAGGATTTAAGAATTAAAAACGGTAGAGGGTAGTCACCAGGTGCATGCGTTGGATTTAATGGATTGAAAAATATGGCTTTTGCAGCCCAGTGCAGAGAGGACTGTCCAGAACTTCACGTAGGGGGAAACTAAACAACTACACACACACGGTCACCTCTTCAGGCCAAGACTCTGCAGTCCACTCACAACTAAAGGACAAGGGACACACTTTTGAAGATGACAAAGTGCACATTCTGGACGGAGAAGATAGATGGTTTGAGAGCGGAGTAAAAGAAGCTATCAAACGTGAAAAGAGGAGGAGGCCTCAGGTCGCACCTTTCCAGCCCGTGTAGTAGAGCTCTAAACTTAATTCCAAAGACAGTTTCAGTCCAGGTCACACCCTCCTGCATCTAATTAAAACAACCATTCCAGCACAGTAGGGCCTAATGACATCAATGACTTCCCAGGGGTAGAGAGGAGGGGTATTCATGGGTAGTTTCAGCTCATTAAAGGGACTTTACGGACTTTTGAATTTTTATGCTCGTGATTGCCCCCTCAGGCCAAAAGCGTAACGGCAGCTTCAATAGTAGGCTCGTGCACGAGGCGCGCATGCTGTACGTGCACACTCCTTAACGAAAATAACAGCTGAGACAGTCCCTTGTGTGTGTGTGTGTGTGTGTGTGTGTGTGTGTGTGTGTGTGTGTGTGTGTGTGTGTGTGTGTGTGTGTGTGTGTGTGTGTGTGTGTGTGTGTGGCCCGGAGGGCAGAGGACAGGAGAACGTGCAGCTAATTAATTAAATAATTTGGTTCTGTACCTTTCTCTTCAGCACAGCCGACAAAGGTTTATGATGGGTCAGTCCTCCTGCATGCTCAGATCATTCCCTTCCCTTGCTTGAAAAATTGTTCCAAAATGAAAGTTGAACCCACATCTTTTTTATCTGTGAATTCAATGCCGTTCGGCGAGTCTCAAATAAAAATTTTGACATCTTACTGTAAAAAAATATACCATTAATGTAAAAAAGAAACTCTAAATAAACTATGTTCACATCCAGAATCAAACCCAGGTCTTCGGCAGGAGAGTCCGACGTCTTACTAGGCGAGCTAAAGCACCAGTGACATCCTTTGTATCTGTAACATTTATATCATTGATGACAGCTGAAACAACATTTAAAGAACGGTTCGGAGTGAAAATGGCTATTTTGTTGCTAATTAGCAGGAAATATCTAGAAGAAAGTTCTACAGAAAGTAGCCAAGGGTCCTCAGAAATGTAGCTAGCTTTGTCACTAGGCGTTAGGAACAGCGACAAAGTGGCACTGCCTCTCTCTCTGCTGCTAAAGCTACGGATAGCAAATGCTACGGGCGATGCCTGAGTGTGAATGCGCATGAAGCAGCCTGCTCGACCCGAGCATCTCTCTTTTTCTGTGATTTTACAGAAAAACAGGCAATCACAGTAAAAATGCCAGGACTCATTCTACAGGACCAGGGCATTGCAGGAGAATGTATGAAGAAGACATTTATTATTTCTATACATGTTTTGGCTGTCACACTTCCATAATGCCCCTTTAAGCAACAACAGACAGCTATATTTTTAAAGCTCGACTCTCCTATATTCCAGTCAGAATTGACAAAGCTCCTCGGACGAAAAGCAAAACGTCTTCAGGAAACCACGGACATCCAGCTGCCTTCATTCGAACCCCTTTGGACCTCCTCAGTGAGCCTGGAGCTCAAGACCAGAGCGAGTCTGCTGACATGTCATGGTTTCTCTCCCCCCCATACAGGGCCACTTCTCCACCTGCGCCTTCAACGTGATCCCTTGTCCCAACCGCTGCTCTGTCAAGCTGACGCGCCGCGACCTGCCCGACCACCTGCAGCACGACTGCCCCAAGCGAAAGGTCAAGTGTGAGTTCTGTGGCAGCGAGTTCACCGGCGAGGCCTACGAGGTAAACACTCCTCTTTGATTTTTCTGGTATGTCCCAAAGCGAGCTCGGCACAAACAACCCGGAGTACCGACTCATGATTTCCATGATTATGTAAGAGGCGTAACTTTGAAAGGCCCCAGGAAAAACCAACGTGTCGACACCTAGAGAGGCGCTTGGCAGCAACGTGTGAGAACGTTTTCCTACCTGAAGGGCCTCTCAGTCACACCTGTATCATCTCATAACAAAAAAAACACGTATTTACCCAGATTAGTTCATAAAATTCAAATTTCCACCATTCCACCGTACAGTTTTACACCCAGGAAGCCAGATTAATAGTTTTTTCGCATGTCTGCTATTTAGAGTCACAGTTTTGACATAATCGTGGCTTCATCTCTCAGGTGCGATCCAGGAAACCAGTCTGCTTATCTCTTATCTGTGTTTTGTTTCTGATGCCAGAACCACCAGGGGGTGTGCCCTCAGGAGAGCGTTTACTGTGAGAACAAATGCGGGGCGAGGATGATGCGTCGCCTGCTGTCCCAACACGGCATGGCTGAGTGTCCCAAACGCACGCAGCCCTGCAAGTACTGCGGCAAAGAGTTTGTCTTCGACACAATCCAGGTGGGTTTAGCAGAAACTCTCACTTTTCTCCCGAGTTCAGCAGTCGTGTCGGTGCACGCTCACTCTTCCCTGTGCCACACACAGAACCACCAGTACCACTGCCCTCGCTTTCCCGTCCAGTGTCCGAACCAGTGCGGCACCCCCAACATCGCCCGTGAGGACCTGGCCAACCACGTGAAGGACAACTGCGGCAACGCCCTTGTCCTCTGTCCTTTCAAAGACGCTGGCTGCAAACACAGAGTGAGTTTCCGCGCCGCGCTTATTACCGTTTTCCTGCATCCAGTTGAATCCCTTCAGGTTGTGTTTTGATGAGAGCGCCGTGTCCGCGGGCTCTGTTTTTAAAAGCTAAGATGCGGACACGTCAACATCCGCCGCGGGCTCGTCGCTCCGTTTAGACTCGGAGCATCTGGAAAGCTGGAGCTTTTACAGGTGGCCTGATGGAAAGAAAAATCAGCATATCTAAGTGATGATTCATGTTATGTTTACTTTGTTTATTTAACTTCACATATGAGTGGGAGATTTTCTGTTTCCGTCCTCCTTTTTTGACAATCACTAATAGTTTTGAAGAAATAAAGCTGTTCCGATGATGCCAATTAGGTTAAAAGTCCGTTTTCCTCTAGTGTTTCTGTGTCGGGGTGTTCCGTTAATGTCCAAAAGGATGATGCAACATATGAAAACGTCACAGAAGACCTCTTAAGACGTTAACCTAAAAAATGTTTCTCTTTTTTTTATCTGCAGTGCCCCAAACTGGCGATCAGTCGCCACCTGGAAGACACCACCAAGTCCCACCTGACCCTGATGTGCAACCTGGTGGGTCGCCAGCGGCAGGAGATCATGGAGCTGCGGAGGGAGATGGAGGAGCTTTCCATTAGCCACGACGGAGTTCTCATCTGGAAAATTAGTGACTACTCTCGCAAACTCCAGGAGGCCAAACTCCGCAGCAATCACGAGTTCTTCAGCCCGCCCTTCTACACCCACCGCTATGGCTACAAGCTGCAGGTATCGGCCTTCCTGAACGGCAACGGCAGCGGCGAGGGCTCCCACCTCTCCGTCTACATCCGAGTGCTGCCAGGAGAATACGACAACCTGCTGGAGTGGCCCTTCTCCTACAAAGTGACATTCTCTATCCTGGACCAGAGTGACCCGTCCCTTTCCAAGCCCCAGCACATCACAGAGACCTTCAACCCTGACCCCAACTGGAAGAACTTCCAGAAGCCCAGCAGCAGCCGCAACTCACTGGACGAGAGCACCCTGGGCTTTGGATACCCCAAGTTCATTTCACACGAGGAGATCAAGAAGAGGAACTACATCCGAGACAACTGCATCTTCGTTAAGGCTTCTATAGAGATTCCCCAGAAAATAATGGGTTAAGATCCAACGGTTTTCTGTCTCTGCTCATGAAGGAGTGAGATGGGAGAAAAGCTGATGCTTCTACACACTTTCCCTTTAGAGACTTTCTGTCCTCACAGCTTCTCCACCACAGAGCGTGAAGTGAGTCTGTTTGGTCGCCTCGGAGGAACTTGATGCATCCCAGCGGAGAAGGTGTTTGGTCTGCAGAACCACCACTCTCTGACTTTTCTTTTTACTATCGTTTTTTTTTTTACATGTTTGCTGACCTTTTATCACAGTCTACAACAAAAAGCCTTTGAAATCAAACAGTGCCTAGAGTGTTTATCCTAAGTTATACTTTTGTCTTTTCTGCAGTACTGATGCTAAAGATGATGGAAAATATATTAAAAAGAAGCTGTTCTGAAATTATTACAGTGAAGTTAAGTTGGGGGAGCGAAGCAAACTCGCGCTTATGCCCAAATGCCTTTGTTTACACCCTCATATGTTTTATTGATCCCTTAATAAACACACCTTCTCTGTACAAACTGCTCACTAGGGTCGTCCAAACACAAACACACTGGTTAACTGTCAGGTTTTAATTGAGTTGTTTGATTCTGTTTGCTTTCACCAGACAAGGAAATCTTTGTTGCTAAATGAAAAACTGGTTTGTTTAACCAAACTTGTAGACCAGGAATTAGTAGAACCAGACCGGATGTTTCGTTTTTACTAGCCACTTATCAACACATGTAAAGTCAGTCAAATCATTTCGACAGAACCAACTCTATTTGCTCTTGTTAGCTTAGATAATGCTCATTAACTCAAACATGTACCTAGCTTAATCTAAGGAACATTGTTTAAGCTAACAAATGTTTCTCAATGCCAAGGAACCTTGCATTGATGTCTTGGTCCTGCCCCGGTTGCCTAGGAGATACGTCATCAGGAGCCGCCAAGACGTGTTCCAATGTTCATGTTCTACTTACCCTCAAATTCCACTACCTCCGCTCCGCTCCGCCACGAACTCCGCAGCAAAATCGGTCCCGTTGTAGTCAATCAGAGCTATTCCACTACTGCGGCCGTGCTCCGGCCGTGCTCCGGCAGTGCGGCGCATTGCGCCGCCCTCTGTTCCGGCGTCCGGCTAAAATAGAATTGATCCTATTTTTGCCGGACGCCGGAGTACCTCCGCAGTCAATGGACAGGAATCACAACGGCCCAACAGGAAAGGGAGCAAGCACAACTTCCGTTATTTCACAATAAATCGATAAACAAAAGGCGTTTTTTGTTTCATATGCACAGGTTTAACAACTTTTAACAACTATCAGTGGCGGCTGAAGTTTAAATGCACAAAAATAAGCCATAAATACAGTTTCTACTATCAAAGTAGTCACACTTTGTTGATCCAAACACTGCTGATCTCTCAACACAAATGATGGGCAGATTAAACAGTTCATTTCGATGCTTCTCCCACGCAACGGGTGTTTGGATCTAACTTCCGCGTTTATTGCTCGGACTGTATCGCAAGATCTCGAAAATCCCGCGCATGCCTGTTTGTGCACCTCAGGTCTCGCACCGGAGCAGAGCCGTTGTAGAGCGGGTAGCAGTAAAAATTGAGTTCGGAAGCGAGTGGCTGCGGAAGGCGGGGGCGGAGCGGAGGTAGTGGAATTTGGGGGTCAGGCGTCTTCTCCGTTTGTTAGCCATTTAGCTAGCTGAGCAAGGATATGCAGGAGGTGCCTTGTAGCCTGGCCTTGGTCAAAAATTTCACAGAATACAGCACGGTATTTTGAAAAGGCAGCTACTTTGGGGGTAAATTTCAAGTTAAAATGTAAATCAACTAATTGTAGCCATCAGGCTGATATCTAAAATGGTTTTTTTATATATATCCTAAGCAGTTATCTTTGGTTGGATATAGTTGCAGCTTCGGTGGCTAGCAGGTAGTAACTCGCCTACATATTTTATTTAACTAAAATATACACAATTAAAAAGTAGAAGGCTCGCTATATATTTATTTTGAGACTTAAACGTAAAAACCATATAGTTACCTCCCGTGTCACGTGACTTTACTTGACTGCCGTGGAAGCCATTTAACCGTTTTCTTTGACCAAGGAAGGACAGTGTCCTCGTAAGCAAGGCGCCTGGCCTCGCAAGACATCGCCTTGCGAGGCCAGGCGCCTTGGCATTGAGAAACACCCTTAGACTACCCTCGTTAGCTTAAACTATGGTCAGTAATTTGGACTAGAGTTGCTAGCTTTGGCAATGCTCCTTGAATCAAGCTATTCTTTTTAGCTTGAGCTAATTAATTAGCATAAGTTGTGCTATTTAGCTTATGTGAATCTCATTAGTCTACTTTTGTTCTTTAAGGCTATGCTAAGCCCACTATGCACTGCTAAGCTAACAAGCTGTCTAATTTTCCCGCCTTTTAACTTTAAAAACCAGACAGAAAACACTTTAAACAGAAAATAATTGTTCAATGTTTGTGTTGGTAAGAGTTTCATCCAGGAGTTAGCGTCTCAAACACACTTCATCGTGATTCTTGTACCAATTAGACAAAAAAGCACCTTTTGTTGGTTTCTAGATGGGCGAAGCAGACAAAGTTGTTGGATTGCATTTAATGTTGAAGAAAGAAGCCATGTGGCCTTTTTTATACAGTAAGTCTTCACACGAGGGTTTTCAAGGGGAGCAGAGAAGCAAACTCATGCATGCTCCATGTGCCACCACCTGGTTCTCCTGAAATCCTCCCTTGTTGATGACTTTTCTCTCTCCTTTTTGGACCATTTGAAAGTTGACAGATAAGAAAAGCTTTTTATGATTTTTTTTATATATATTCATAAAATGTGAATTCTCTTGATAACATAGTCTCAAACGATGATGGAAAGCGTGTTGTTTTATGTGACATGATCTCTGCATGTAGCTGGGTGTCTCGGGACTGATTGAACCTTTGTTGTTACCATGGTCACCAGTGGCTCTCTTCAGCTCCACGACGACGAGCAGTCCCCCCCCCCCCCCCCCCCCCCCCCCGTGCTACAGACTCTGTTTTTATCAGAGCACCATCAGGGGCTGGAGTGACTTTGATGACACGCCTAACTCATCATACATGTGAATACTAATGTAAAAACGCGGAAGCACATTCTTTTTATTACTACACGTGGGAACAGTCTTGATTTCTTGTCATACCAGCTGATATTTTACAGTGAATCAAAGGAGCAAGAAAAAAAACTTTTTTGTAAGATTCTGTATTTTTAAAAAAATGTTTTATACAAACTTTTGTTGGGGAGTCGGGGTTGGCTTTGGGAGTTTTCACACCCTTTTCTTTCTCTGGAACATTTGGATAATTTGTGTCTGTGTGGTTTGAGCTTGTTTTGTCTGTATTATTTCCTCTTTAAAGTATTTATTTTAAGGAGCCATGGTACGATTTCGGACTGATGGTGACCCTAACCCACGTTGATTGATGAGTGCTTGTCAATTTCTTAACTGAAATAAAATACCATATATTATAGTTGTTGTTTTCTCTTTGTTTTATTTCGTTTAGTGGGTGGATGGTTTGTTCTGGTGAAGATGCAGCTTAGATCTGAAAAAACAAACTTTTAACTTTTTTTTGTCTTTTATTTATTTTTTTAAGTCATGCAAAAAGACCAGATGCGTCCTGATGTTTGCAAACTGGATTTAACACCCTAACCATTTTATTTTGACTTGCATAAATTAAGTGAATGTCAGTGAGACGGGTATTTACAGTGGGTAAATGTTACCATTTGTGTTACGGCCATGGACGTAATTTTCACTTTAGAAGGGGGGGGGGGTATCTTTACAGTATGCTCTAATGGGAAACAGGCTTCAACACAAACGGTTGTTTTCCGCTTAGTCCTAGAACTCAACCAGTGTGAATTTAATACAGCGTAATATTGTTTTTGGATGGTAAAAAGTGCAAGGGTCAAACCTTGACTTTGGAAAAAGTGGGGGGGTGGGGGACACCCCACCCCCCACCCCACCCCCACCCACCACAAATTACGTCCATGGTTACAGCTACCAGCCTGGCCATTGGGAAGCCAGGATCACCCAGCCCTGGTGATCAGCCCAACACCGCCCCTCCTCCTCCTCTCTTCCAGGCTGCTGAGGAGCACAGCTGAGCTGAACCCTGCTGATGACCCACACCTGGGATAAAAAGGCTGTGCCTTCAGCTGTCTGGGAGGCAGCAGTGCAGGGGTTCTGCTGTCCTCCAGGCCTCAGTTTTGTTTTCAACCCCTTCGTTTGTGGTGAGTTTTAACTTTTAAAGTTTTAACTCTGATTTGAGGAGTTTAAAGGGAAAAACTCTGAGTGATCCATGGGGATCTTTGGCTGATGTCAACTTATGGTTGACTCTGTTTTAAGGTTAACTCTGCTTTAGTTTTTAGACTTTCATCAACTTCGTTGTGTTTTGAAAACACCTCCAGTTTAGGTAAAACTTTTAATAAAGTTTCAACCAGGTGTTTTGTATAGTTAAGTTATCTTTTAACTGTTAACCTTATAGTGAATTTTTCATTTTGCATTATTTTAATAATGCTCGCCATCTGTTTGCACTTGTTTTTAGAACCTTTTATAACAATTAAACCCATTTTAAATCCACCGTCGCAATTCTTATGTTACCCCCTCCTTCACATTTGACCACCTCCTGTCGGTGACGTAACAGCTTGTATTTTTATATAGCTCCTTCTAGAGTCCTGGAACCCCCCAAGGCGCTTTACAACACAGTCATTCACCCATTCACACACTGGTGGTGATGCGCTACGATGTAGCCACATCTGCCCTGGGGTGCACTGACAGAGGCAAGGCTGCAGAGCACAGGCGCCACCGGTCCCTCCGACCACCACCCGCAGGCAACGTGGGTTAAATGTCTTGCTCAAGGACATAACGACAGCAACAGACTGAGCGGGGCTCGAACCTGCAACCTTCCGAGTGCAGGGCGAGCACTTAACTCCTGTGTCACCGCCGCCCTGTCCTGGGTGGGAAAAATGGAGAACAATGTGGGAATATTAAGTTTCCTTCAGTCCCTGAGGAGATTTTAATCCCTGCCCCATGTTTCTATTATGCCCCCAGCTGTTATGAGGACGTCAGAGAGACTAAACAAAAAACAGGTGAGATGTAAACGTATCTGGACTCCAAATCACTCTTAAGTTGATGTCCTACGAATTTAATGTAAATTTCAACTGACATGTTTTTATTAATGCTCATAAATATATTAGCTGCCAAGTGCTTTTAATGCATTTAAAATCTGTTAAACTAATGTGAAGCTAAAAGGCGAGGAAGCGTTTAGCTTCTGTCCCATTTTCTCAGTTCATTGCAATGAAAATAATTCATAGCAGCATTTTTCTTTAGCTGAATTTAGCTATTTTATAATCCGTCAAACTTTCTTGGGGGAAAAGTAAAGTTTTTCTTGTTTGAGTTGACTTTGATCAGAACAGACATGGCTTATTTTTTTTCTTTATAATTTGCTTTCCATCGCCCAGTCAGCGATGTAGGTCAGAGGTCGTCTTCTTCTGCTCTGCTGAGTCGAGCAGAAGAAGAAAAGGGAGCAGAGGAAGCGAGGGAGACGCTAGCTCTCCTAAAGCAGTGCCAGGCATTTTCATTAGCTCTCCATATGGCTGCTGTGCAGAACCTAGGGAGGAAGAAAATGAGCTTTTAATGAAAGTCTCTCTCAGGTCCCTCAGGAGGACAGTCCTGCTTCTCACTTACTGTCTACAAGCCAAGGGCTCCGAAAAATCAACCCATTACCTCAAATCGCTCATTTCAACTCCTGAAGGTGAAAACATCTGTTTCACCAACAAATCCAGATGTTTCTTTATCACTTCAAGATTCCTGTTGGACGGTGTTTTCAGTTCACCTTAAAAAACAGTCAGTCTCAGAGTTTCCTGGCATGAAACCAACCACCAGCAACCAGAATCAGAATATAAACAGCTAATTACACGTTAGCGAGCGCCATGGTTCGCGTACAGAACCGAGTCACGTGCAGCTCTGCGTTCTTTCACCGTCCTTCAGCTCTGCTTCCTCAAATGACCCTCTTGCTTTTCTGCAGGTAAATCATTAGCAGGTAGCCACATTCCCAAATGACAAACCTTTGGTCAACATGCACTGGAAGGCAGATGCCAGTGAGGTGGCAGGAGGTGGAGGCCGATGGGGGAGAGCCCAACCCACGAGGCTTTCCTGGCCCATAAAAAGACATCAAAGAGGAGCTGTGGGTTATGAAGCGGTGCCGTGCTGCCATGCCTCGGTGTGGTGTTTGCGAGAGGCGTTGTCCCTCAGCGGTTTCAGAAATCTCCCAGGAAGGATCAACAGCTGATCAAGGGTAAAGGGATGAGTCAGAGAAAGGCTCAGAGTTTGAGTGTCGGGCTTCTTAGCTGCTCTGGAAACAGCAAATAAACCCAAATAAAGGCTTGGTGATCATTATAGGCTGTGTCCAAATTCAGGGCTGCATCCTTTGAAGGCCGGTTACGTCACAGCGATGCTGTCCAAACTCAAAGACTCCTCTAGTGTGTCCTTTTCCACGGATATGAAGGAAGAATCAGGTGTATCCTTCGTGGATCACCCTATCCCAAGATTCATTGCAGGCTGAAGGGGAGATTACTCTTCTTGTTATAACGGTGGAGAGGATTCTGGTTTTAAATGTAAGAAATAATAATGTTTAAATCTGCTGTATTGTTACCTAATCTTTTAAAGGCATACTTTACAGGGTTAATGAAATATCACTCAGACCCCATCACCCCCCGTGGCCAGAATATTGCACTTGCAACTTCAGAGTAGCCTGTCAAGTCCCTGATTTGGTAAAGTGGAGCTGACGTGCCTGTAGTCTGCATCCAACACATTTCTCGCATGTTTTAGATCATGAACACGGGTGTTTTGGTTAATTTATTGATGAACCAATCCTGAAGGCTGTTTGATGCTAAAACGACAAACGCAAGGTGAGGAGATACATTTTACCTTCATTTTTACTAATGGACACTCAGAGGTGCTAAAATTCAAATCAATTCAATTCAAAAATACTTTATTAATCCCAGAGGGAAATTGATTGCTGTAGTAGCTCAGAATAATAATAATAATCAAGTCATCAAAGAGTTGTTGTATATTACAATGGCTGTTGGCAGGAAGGATCTCCAGTAGCGGTCAGTGTTGCAGCCAAACTGAAGAAGCCTCTGACTGAAGACACTCTTCCGTTGTCGGACAGTCTTGTGAAGAGAATGCTCAGGGTTGTCCATCATTTTCTTGATTCTCTGGAGAATCCTTCTTTGCATTATCTCCTCCAGCGGTTCCGGAACTGCCGAAACTCTGGCTGAGTCCTTGAAAGGGCTTGGAGTTCCTCCATCTTGTTGGCCAGTGATCTCACGTTGCCCATTATGATCGATGGAAGAGATGGTTTGAATTTCCTCTTTCTCTGTCTCTGTTTTGCTCCCGCTTGTCACGACGTGCTGCGGAGTGGAGCAAAGCTAAGGCGAGGATCCAGACCGGGGAGGAAGCAGGCAGACAGGTAGGATTCACTTAACAGGTTCATTAGGACGCACGCTGGACAATGAAACAATGACTCCACACAGGACACAAAACAGACTGGGTTTAATTACAGGAGGACCGGGAGCTAAGGTGATCGGGAAACAAGAGGCAGGTGGGGGTAATTAACGAGACACAGAGCTGAACTAAACAGGGAGACAGGACAGGGTGTGACACCGCTCTGCACCCACGCTTCTTGCGTTTTAGCTCATTTGAGATTTGTGGCTTCAGTTGAGGTACTATTTCAGCCTTTTCAATGTTAATCAGCTGCTCCCGATTGTAAACAGCTGGTTGCCATGGTTACGCATGATAACAAATGCTCAAAAAGTGAAAAAAAGTTAAGAAATAGCAGTAAAACTCCTCCAAGCTTCACAGCGCCAGAAACAGAAAAGTAAAGTGTCCAAAAAAATACAGTTTTTCTTGAAAAACTAGAAGAAAAAATGCCCAAGAAAAGGCAAAACTTACATAAAGTCAACAGAGCTACTCCAACATGCAGCCACCCAGAGCAGCGCAGTTCCGGAAAAAAAAGCAAGCCAAAACTGCTCAATATCCCTTTAATATTGTCTTTGTCACAATTCATCTGAGAAATCCCCGTCAATGGCGTCACGTTGGTAAAGCTGCCGAAGCTCCTCAGTTAAAAGCTGAGCAACAAAAGAGTGATGCGAAATTTCAAGTTCTATTTTCGGCTTCTGTTTTGCACCATTATTGTTGCTAGGCAACGGGACACACCCCAAGGTAAGGGCAGGAATAAATCTGAAGACCATCCAACTCGCATCCACTCACAGTCCACAGAGGACTCGGCCTACGTCGTAGGAAACGCAAATCTTGCGGGAGCACGCGGCAAAAAATTGACTTCAAGTCCCAGGAAGGTCAGCTGTGAGCAGTAAACATGTGACTCATGTCAATTATCCACTTATGAAGCATCAAGAGGAAAAAGTTCAAATAAAATATTGATTGAGAAATCGTTCACAGTGTGATCTCCATCCG